GGCTCATGTTTCTCTATTTTGACACATACCCAAATGGTTTAAAGGGACACCACATAGGTATAGAAACCACCTATAGGGCACGGATCCCCATTCGGAAGGACTTTGCGCCGCGACGCGTCCAACTCACTCATCGCCCCAAGAGAAACACAAATTAGTGAAAAAGGCGATGCTTACTCAACTCACCTCTCGAAGAAGCAGGTGAGGCTTCAAATTTCACCAGAGACATTTACCAGGAGCCCAAAACAAACCAACTCCGAAGCGCCCGCGGAACCCGAACCCCCGGCGAAGGCGCTTTCTCCCGGCCGAAGCGAAAGAGCCAAAAAGCCGCGAACTGCCCAGCGCCCGAGGCTTCGCGGTGCAGTTCGACTCGCTGCGCGCGCAGTTCGAAGGTCTGCCGCCCTCGGCGGGGCGGGCGCTGGGGGAGGTCTTGGAGAGCGGCGAGGCCAAGATCCAGGTGGCCAAGGCCGCGGGAGGACTTTGGGGTGGCTCTTGGGTCTGGGTTTTTGCGGGGCTTCTGGTGGTTTTAAAGCACCACTCACTTCCTGAGTTCATGAACTTTAAACTTTTTGGGTTTGGACCATTGTAGTGGTAAATTTAAAGTTTGGACCCTTTTTGGGCCATCAACTCTGTTGGGTCTGGGTTTTTCAGGGCTCCTTAAAAGATCTCCATCTTGCAACCATTTGAAACATGTGGCTTTTTCAACACCAAAATAGAGGGAAACCACCATTTACAAGGCAATGTTCAGGTGTATAATGTAAGGATCCCTGTTTTTTGGTGAGGGTGCCGTTTTTGGCTTGGCTTTCAAGGGAGACCAACAGGAAAACCACAATTGTTGGGTCCCCCTATTTGCAGACAAAACCATACACCATGTTTAGGTTCTTAAGGGAAAACTCAGAGCAAACGAACTGTTTGTTGGTGTTCTCCCATTGGTCCTGAAATAAGCGTGTGTCTTGTTTTAGGGCACCCCACAAAACTTATGGTTCTCCGCTGGGTTTCCCTTTAAAACCCCAGCCAACACGGGGTTCCCCAAAAGCACGGCCATAGAAAGCCCTGGTTGATCCAAGGGGGGCTGTCCCACAAATCTGAAAGGAAGGTTCCTTTCTTTCGGCTCCGATGAGGGTCTCCTGAGAGTGACTAATTGGGGTCAGGCCAAGCTCCAAGCATGCCGATTTGAAAGAAAGGGTCATCTCAGGTGCATACGAAGATGGACACATACAAATACATGTTGCATTTGTGCAAATGTACACTTAATACACTGACACATGCACAGAAAGAAATACGTGTGCTTCTGTAGAATATGTGAGTGCCCGGCAAACCAGTGGAATGCCAACAGGTAAGCGGACGGCCCGTAAAACACATGCGCGGTAGAACGCAGCAAAGTCTTCAGGAACGATAGGGTCCACAACAGACAGGGACAACCAACGTGTCACGAGAGCTGTTTGTATGGATTGTCCTAGGCAGGCCGAACGGGGAGCTTGTCCCGCACAAAACAAGGCGCGGGTTAGTCGGCAACCAAATCGACAGCCAGAACATCCCATTTGCAAGGAAGCTGGACAGGGCACAGCAAGGTACGACGATAACGGCGATACTTGATGCTGGTACTGCTGCTATTGACACCGCCACACCACCACCACCACCACCACCACCACCACCAGTACTCATACTGCAAATACAGCATTTGCTACTACTACTACTACTACTACTACTACCCTGTGAAACCAAAACCGTGAAATTCGTAGGGTCAGTGTGGAAACCCGGGTTTTAAAGGGAAAACCCGGGTTTTCCACTTTAAGGAGGGGCCATTAGTCCTCTCACCCGCCTGCTCCGGTGGCCGTTTGTGCTCGCGGCAGCTGCAATGCGACCTAAACCCCCAGAGCGCCTTGGCTTCAAAAAGATCCTGGGTGACAGAGTGCGTACATGTAGTAAAGCAATTTTGGGGAGCAGCCAACATTCCCTTTATATGTGAACATGCTCAAGTATACGTTAGATACCATCACCCAGGACGAACCAGGTAACCTGCATTCACCCATTGTGAATAACAGGCCTGCAAATATCTTTGCACAACCCGTGTGGCGGCCATTGGCTTCGCTGTCACACGTCTACTCAACCTGCTTGGGCGGGATATGAAATCTTCATCCTGTTGTACACTCACACTGAGTGGGTTCAACGAGTCCACCCCTTTTTGCGATGCTTCGAGTAGCAACTGGAAGACATGGTGAAGGGCGTGTGCTTTTGGAGTAAGCACAAACAGCATCCTGTTCGTATCCATTGAAGACCTTGCTAGCTCACTGTATCGCCGCAAAAACCTGTGACCCTGCTCTGCTATGAAACGACCTTTGGACGGTGATAGCCAAACATCAGATGAATACATCTCTGTCACGCATTGCTGAACTGCCCTTGTGGCCTCAACAGCTTTTGACAGCAGTGGATGGGCTGCAAAATCTTCTGTCTCAAATCGGTGCTGCACATACGACATCAAGACTGTTGTCAAGTCAGCCTTGTGCCAAATCCCTGTGGGGTACACAGTTGTAGTAGGCCATCCAATTTTCTCCTTGGTCAAACGGACAATGTGAGGACGTCGATGGTGAAGTTTGCACCACGAAATATACTTGGCAGACAACTGCTCAAACCGGGTGTCAACATTTCCTCCAGTTTCGAGCTCGCTCAGAAGTGCAAGAACGCTGCCCAAATAGTTTTTCCCGAGGCCAAGATGCCAGCAGTGGAAGAAGTCGAATGCCCAGAGGCGGGCAAGCTGATTGGGCGGGTGAGGGAGACACTGGAACGGGGTCGGTTCCACAAAAACACCGTCATCATCATTCATGGTTGTTCTCCATGTAGGCCTGCGAGTATGGATCTGCTCAAATCCCCAGGATGTTTGCCCCGCCTTGCACCAATGGCAGATTCCCACAGGCTCTGCTTTAACGTTCTTCTTTTTCTGGCAGTTGTTGAAAGATCGTGCAAGATTTCCGCTCTTGTGAAGAAACGGCCAATCTCCAGTGATGTGTAATACCATGATCCAATACTGCTTGTTGGTCTTCTTTTCGAGAACCCCATTTGTACACATGAACAGGCACTCAGCTGCAGCAGCCTCCATGAGCTTCTTCCAAACATAATCGTGCTGTCCGGTGTAATCCCTTTTTCTCAAAGCTGCAAATAAAAATCTGTTTGTGTAGGTGTGACCAATGTAGTTAGGAAGCATTTTCACATACGGTCTCGGAGCAGACTGCACATGCTTCTTCTCCTCGCTAGGGCGTAGTCCCCTTCCTAACAAACTATGAAAAGACAACACCATGAACGCAGACCGTTTTCTTCCTCGGCCTTCATCACCATGCATCACGCATGGCACCGTTCTGTGTAATTGTACTTGATTTCGCTCTGCCATTTCAAAAATAGGATGAGAAGGCTGTGTCGCTTTGAATTTGCTCCAAAAAGACGCCAAAATGGCCTCTTCTCTCGGTGGGTCAGGGTGAAGAAGCCCAGTCAACACGTGCAGCGAATTTGAGTCCACTATGTATTGGGCCCAATCCCGAAGCAACAGTAAGGGAACTTCCACGGAGTCATCCTTTGCTTCTAGCCGGGAAATCGGGATTGGTAGGGCCAAGCCAAGCTTGTTCACAAAGAGCCGGCGGCAGTTTCTTTCAGAGTTGGTCACCCCGCAGCGTGAAAGAGCTATCAACGACCCGGCGCATTTTGCAGCCTTCTCACCAACATCTGAAATAATGTCTCGGGCAGTCTCGATGGCTGAGCGGCAAGAGGCCTCAGCGAACTTGCAACTACAACAATGTTTGCTGGAGGGGGGTAAGATGGGTGATGGGTGAAGTGTGCAATTCCAATGCTTCATCACTTCAACTTGACAAGTTGATTGACTGCGTGCAAACTGCATCCTTTTTCACACCGGCATTGGTTGAGCCACGATATCGTGAGACCTTCAAGGATTCTTCAGTCTTTGACCGTTTTTTTGGAAAACCCCTGGATCACCTTGCACCCCACATGGGACCTGACAGGGGGAGGAAACTTGAAAGATCTGTACACGATATAAGTGCAAAAGCTCTCCTTGCCACAGGTGATGGCCTGCGACTTCACGTTGTCGCCGCCAGCGTTCACGTTCTTGCAGCCAGGACGGCCTGTCGGGTTTGACTGAGCGGCTGCCAACAGATTTTGATGGGTTCCAAGAAACAGAAAGGCCAATGACCATAAAAATTAAAAATGTAAGAACATGTAAGAAGTATGTTGGCGAGTCACTTCCATATTTGTCAATGAGGGCTGCTTCCAACATTGCAGGGCCAAACCGCTCGTCCGCGACATAGAGCACAGTCATGTTTGTCCATTTCTCACGCTCGTTGACGTACCCGTATAGTGTGTTGCCCCACCGCCAGACCGGGTCATGTGTAAACCCAATTTTGAAGATCACAGGTGAATGTTTCGTGAAAAGCCGGTCACAAACATTCGCGCAATGTAAAAGAACTTTGCCAGAGCTCACCCCTTCACGGGGAATCTGGAAGTCGATGCAACCTGTGGCCTGTTTGTGGCGAGGCGCACCCTCTGTTTCTTTTTCAATGGTAGAAGCATTTCCCCTCGAAGCAGGCTCCCCTTTGTGCCAAGTCTCTGTCATTGCCACAGGCACTAGCTCCGAAGCTCTGCAGCGGCTGCTGGAAGAGCTCATCCGGCTCCTTGTCCACGGAAACGGGCCGGCGCTTTCCTGCGATTTTCAGATATTCAGATATCGGTTCAACCATATGATCCAGTTGTTCCTTTTAGAGTTCAGAAGTTTTGGTCAAACCCGCGGTTGTCAAAACAATTAAGTCTCTTTGGGGGAATGTGTATTTTTGTTGAAAAAGATGCAAGAAGGGCCCTTGTAAAAACGCATATGGCCTTGCAAGACACGTTGAACTTTGAATATGATGACCCCTTGTTTCTTCTGAAATTGAAACACAATCACCGTCAGGGCTAGCCTTCGCGGTGGCGCTGTCTACACTGTATGATCGATATGTGTGAACAAGCGCCTTGCCCTATTTTTTTTGCAAACAGACCATGTCAGTTTTTTGTTTAAGCTGTACCAAATCGTTTCTGATCACGGCCAACCAGCGGTGCAAAGAAGCAACTAATTTCTGGGACAGTACCATCAGAATGTTCAAAAGGTGTATCCAAGGTGCTGACCGGTGGCAAGTAAGAAGTTCTAGGAGCTCATCGTCAGAATCTTCAACAGGCATGGCTGCACAAGACGATGTTTGTTCTACATGAGAGACCCGGCTCTTGAGCAAGTTGCAGGTTGTCACAAAACGCCAACTTGATATGGCAAACGCGGCACCAGCATGCGTAAGAAACTATATATTAAATCTTGCCTGTGCGTGTCTTCTAATATAGCTGAAGCATCCGGAAGCTGGGCATCTGGCTCCCTCCCCCATCTTGTGCGAGAGGCCACTGACCGTTTTGCCAGCCTTCGGGCCTGGCGCGCCGGTCACC